TAGACGAGACACGTATTCTTCACCTGAAGATGAACATGGTTTTACAGGCACAGAGAAGAACAAAACATCGAGGAAAGGAGAGGGGAAGCGACCGTGGACGAGGTAGAACGGCGAGTAACCGGTTGTGCACTGCACAGAGGTATTATACGCAAAAGTGACAAATAGCAAAATGGTGTCCCAGTTTCTGTGGTCGGGTTCAATATACATCGCTATCATATCTGACAGTGTACGATGAAAGCACTCAGTCAGACCCTTCGCCGGAGGATGGTAACCGTAGCTTGTTTTGTGTGTAGTGCCAGCTGCCTTGAGCACTTCTTCGACGAGTTCCGAAAGAAATACTCTTCCACGGTCGCTCAGGATTACAGGAGGAGCTCCGTGTCGAAGGATTGTTGCTCAAAGGATGAAGTCGGCCACTTGCGAAGCTGATGCAGAAGGCACGGGAGCTGTTTCGGCGTAGCGGGTCAGGTGGCCGACAGCTGTAACTATCCAACGATTGCCCGTGACAGTCATAGGAAGCGGACCATACAGGTCAATGCCAACTACCTCGAATGGTTGCAGGGGACACGGGAGCGGTTGTACTTGTCCACTTCGAGTTGATGTAGGTAGCTTGCGACGCTGACAAAGGGCGCATGAGGCAACTTACTTCGCCACACAGGTGCACAAGCCCGGCCAGTAGTAGTGACATCTTATGTGGTCATACGTTTTCTGGAAGCCCATGTGTCCAGCAGACATGTCGTCGTGATATGTCTTGAGGACTTGAGCCCGAAGAGAGCGAAGTAGAGCGGGCACCCAGCGTTTACCATCAGGGTGGTAGCTATGACGGTACAGGACGTCGTTGTTGAGCTTGAATTGCGTCAGCTGTCGGCGAAGACGAGCGTTAGGGGGCCGGAAAGTCCCGTCAAGACGGTCCATGATGCGGCGACAGTAAGGGTCAGCACGTTGGTGAGATATGAACAAACCACACTCGCTTGGAGAAGTTGGGTCAACAGTAGTTAATGACGAAACATGCAGGGAAGAGGCAACCGAAAGCTTCTCGAGTGTGGAAGTGGCGGGTTTGTGAAGCGGCTCCAAAGCGAGCGGGCAACGCGAAAGTGCGTCGGCGTCTTGATGCTTGTTTCCCGACTTGTATGTGATCGTGAAGTCGTATTCTTGTAAGCGAAAAATTCAGTGACCAAGGCGGCCGGACAATTCTTGATTGTCGAGAGCCAGCACAAGGCGTGATGGTCCGTAACTACAGTAAAGTGGCGGCCGTGGAGAAAAAATGAAACTTTTGTATCGCCCATACGACCGCTAGGCACTCCTTTTCGGTGATGGTATAATTCTTTTTGGCAGGGGTCAGTGCACGGCTCGCGTATGCGACGACTTTCTCACGTGAAGATTTGTCTCGCTGTAGGAGAATTCCACCAATGCCTCGACAACTAGCGCCTGTATGCAGGAGCGTAGGCGCGGTTTCGTCGAAATGGCAGAGGACTGGTTAGGATGTGAGTGCACACTTCAGTTGGGCAAACGCCGCTTCACATTCAGGAGACCACACAAAGGCGACGCCTGATCCGAGCAACTTGTGCAATGGTGAAGCTATTGAGGCGAAGTGTCAAATGAATCGGCGAAAATAAGAAGCGAGGCCGAGGAAACTGCGCAAATCTTTAGCTTTTTCAGCACGCGGGAAGTGTTGGACAGCGGAAATGTTGTCAGGATCGGGACGAATACCGTCCTTGCTTACGATGTGGCCTTACACTTTAATCGTCTTGCTCGCAAAACGGCACTTCTTGGTGTTCAGCTGAAGGCCCGCGTTTGCAAGGCACGTAAGAACTTTGTCCAGTCATTGCAAGTGCTGAGGGAAGGTTGACGAGGAAATAACGATATCGTCTAAATAACACAAGCAAGTCTTCCACTTCAAGCTTCGTAAAACTGTGTCAATCATCCGCTCAAATGTTGATGGAGCATTGCAAAGGCCGAATGGCATGACGTTAAACTCGTACAGCCCATCTGGTGTTGAAAACGCTGTCTTTTCTTTGTCATCCGCGTGCATGGGTATTTGCCAGTAACCTGAACGCAGGTCTAGGCTTGAGAAGTACTCAGCACCTTGCAGTGAAACCAAAGCATCGTCTATGCGCGGCATGGGGCAAACATCCTTGTGAGTAATCTTACTAGGTTCTCAGTAGTTCACGCAAAATCGCACGGAGCCATCTTTTTTTCCTTACTAAAACAACAGGGGATGACCAAGAACTCGCGCAGGGACTTATAATGTTCTGTTGCAGCATGTCGGCTACATTTTGTTCAATGGTCTCACGCTCGGACGAAGAGACGCGATATGGTCGACGGCGTACGATGGAAGTGCCATCGATCTGAATACGATGCCTAATAATGGAAGTCTGTCCCAGAGATGAGGAATGGGCATCAAACAATCTCCTATGCTATTGTAGCAAGGCAACCAACTCATCTGTCTGTGAAGAGGTCAGTTCTGGACTAATGGTTGCAGCAAGAACAGAAACGCTTGATGAACGTTCAATAGAAGGAAGGTCAGAACACGCTGGCATAAGCGGGACAACAGAGACAGGTTGAGATTCAGAAACGCAAGCCATTGTGGTGCCTTTATGAATGAGAATTTTCTCAGAAGTATGGTTTGTAGCGTAGAGAAGTCCGGAGCCATTGTGGAACCACGCTAGACCTGAAGCAAGGGCTATACCTCTTGCGAGACAGCGTGCAGATGGTTGGACAAACACGTCACCAGAGTCGATCACATTAGAAGTGATGGCAAGTATCCGCTGACGACCAGGTGTTAGCTCGGTCTCTTCAGCAGCGAGCAAGCGAACGGGCTTGTCATCCGCATGCAAGGCATAGTCAGTTTCCATCATATGAACAACATTTTCTCGACAGCAGATGGAAGCGTTCGCCATAGACAGAAAATCCCAGCCTAATTTAATCTGATGGGCACACGAACACAGCACAGCAAATTGTACAAAATGAAGAAGAACAGATATGAAAACACGAGCGGTGCACATAGCGGCAGGTCTAATGGCGTCCCCTTGAGCAGCGTGCAGTGTAGGTCCATCATAAAGGGTGGTGACTTTTCGCAGACGTGAGCACAAAGAACGATCAATTACAGACAAACAAGCACCAGTGTCTATTAAAGCGTCCACGTACACACCTTCTATTAAAACAGATATCGTATTATATGGACGCACTGAAGGAATTTCTGTCTTTTCGTTCGATGCAGCTTTTCCACAAAAGCTGCAGAGTTTAGTTTTCCGGGCATTGGTTGGTGAATTGCGAGACAGGTCGCAATGGAAACGTGGAACGGCGCAGGGGTGACGGTGAGCGGCGTCTAGTAGAGCGGTAAAAACTGGTTGGCGCAGATGTCACAGTTGGAGACGGTGAGCGACGTAGCGGCGGATCATAAGGACAACGTTGGAAAGCGTACCACCTTGTCCCATCATCCCGTCCATAGGTGTCGAATCCACGACACTCGTCCTGCTGACGCTTCCGACAGACGCGTGCAATGTGGCCCCGATAGCCGCAGTAATAACAGATTGGACTATGCGGCCGCCACGGTGGGTGAAAGGCCTGGCTAGGCGCACTCGGAATCAAGGAAGCCAGCGCGACAGGCGTCGAGTGTGCGGGCATCGGTTGTACGACGGGTGGTGAGCCAGCGAGGGCTTGTGCGTACGTCGGCTGGAGTCGATGTACTGGAGAGTCTACATACGCTGGCCTGGCCATGGACGCCAACTCCTCTTTGATAACATCGCGCAAAACAGTGTTGGAGGAAGGAGGTGGACTCGGTGTCATTGAGAGGCTGAAAGATTGCAGCTCTTACCGTGTAATTGCCCGGATCATGGCACGCAATGAGGCATCAGTCGTGGTAGTGTTTTAGGCGCTGTCTGGCGGTAACTGTTGGGGTTCAAGTCCTCTAGGCGTTGGCACGTGGCAACAAAGTCAGTGACTGTAGTCGGGTTTTGAATTGCCAAGGCAATGAACGCGACCGTGCCGATCCCTTTCAATAGATGACGAACTCTCTCTGATTCAGACATGGACGCGCTGAAACGGTGACAGAGAGCAAGCACCTCCTCTATGTCGATGTGTAGGACTCACCGCATTGTTGTTCGCGAGAGCTGAACGAACTACCGGGGTGCTGAAAATTTGGCGAAGCTGTTGCTTGAAACGTGTCCGGTCCGTAATGTCCCTTTCAAGATTGAAAAACCATGTTTTTGCAACGCCTGTGAGATAGAAAAAAAAACACGGCGAAGCTTGGTAGGATCATTGCAGTTCTTAGTGGAACTCGCTCGATTTAACTGGTCCAACCAATCCTCCACATATTCACCTCGAGTCCGGCGAACATGGGCGGCTCTCGCTGGTGCGCGGTAATAATCCACGATGGATACCCGTGGTAGCCGGGGCCGTGGAGGTAGACGCAGAAGCGCCGGTTGGCTCGTACTGAGGCGTGTTACCGGGCACTTTGCACAAACGACGACCTGAGCGGAGCTCGATGAGACAGATGGGGCTGGGAGAGGACGTAAGATCGTAGAGCACACTCCACCACTTGTGATGTAACGGCGAAGCCAACACATATTAGGCCCAGAAGACACCATGAAGCGACCACGCCCAAGGGACAGAACTCAGACAAGCCAAGCCCCCACAGCAGAAGAAAATGACGACCACTCATGATGATGAATATGTGTAAAGATAGTAGATGTGCTTAATGAATGCCTACAATATGGATATGATACGTATATGATATATGGGTATCTATATGGACATGTATATCCTATAGATATGGACATCCTTAGCGTGTCGCGCCAATGGACCGGGTACAATCTCGATCCCAAAGGTTTTCACCACTAAAATAAATATTTCACCATTTACAAGCACTACTAGCATCTGAACCTTTGTCGAATAGATACTATTACTGCCATTCTTGTCTTTTGTTTCCTATGTTTGTCTGCAATCTACTCACGGCAACGCAGCGTCCCTTTCATTTCACTAATGCACAATCTCAATCGCAGTGCCTGAACACTACGATGTCGGCATGCGTTGGAACTCATGCGAATCAGGTATGTTCCATGTATACCTTGTCTTACGCCTGGGTATCCAGGGTATATACTTCGTAATGTAGATCAGGCCTGTCATTTACAAAGCAACACCGGGAAAATCAGGCATGTTGGACGTACTACCTCGAGTATCTAGTCAATATTCATCAATGACTAAAAAGAAATAAATGTTTGAGTTAGAAGACAAATTCTAATATATTTAAAATACGCTTTAGATTTAAATAAAATTTCCAAATATATTATAGTATATATATATATATATATATATATATATACTATATTATATATATATATATATATATATATATATATATATATATATATATATATATTGGGGGAGTAATATTTCAATGGGCCAGTTAGTCTTCGTGAAGGTATGGGATATGGCACAACGGGAGCGTTGTCAACAAGGATATATATATTTATTTCCCACAGTTTCGGGAGGGGTCCTCCCTTCATCAGGGGGTTAAACTGATCCCCTGATGAAGGGAGCACTCCTCCCGAAACTGTTGGGAAATAAATATATTATCCTTGTGGACAACGCTCCCGTTGTGCCATATCCCATATATATATATATATATATATATATATATATATATATATATATATATATATATATATACACGTAGCGGTGTGATATATATATCATGCCGGTATGTGTATGCCTAAATATCTGTCTGTTTCTACAGCACCACAAACCATGCCGTGGCTTTGATATTTTCCTCAAGTTCTTTATCATCTTAAACTACCAACATATTTGGGCCCTAAAGAAAGAATATACAGCCAAGCATTTCGACGGGTGACAGCGTACACCTTGCGCTTAGGTGCTTTTCAATGCTTGTTTATACACGCACTCTGCATGCCCACAATTATTGAGCCGAGAAACGCAAACGTGGAATCGTTTCTCACCACAACTCTGCGGTGATATTACATGGTGGGTTCTTTGAAACTTGCCCCGAAACTTCAACATACCCGTTCGGGAATATTTATTGTTAAAATACAATCGTTATTTTTTCAGCTAGCCCACTAAAACATCATCATCATGCTATATAAATCCGACTACTGAATTTGGCTATTTATACATGCAACTTTGCGTTGCCTTTGTAGCGCAGCATTCACAATATCGTCTTCAGGTTGGCACATATAATTCAACCCATCAAACATGCACCACAATACCAATGGCCTTCACAGCAGTGTATTGTTTTTTGGATTTTTGCTGCAGGCTCTCGTGATACAGCAGTTCTTCGAAGCAGTCACTGTAAGTACCACTCTGGATTCTCTTTGTGAAAGCCTCATAGGGCAAGAGGAAAGCCTCAGTAGGGCAAGAGGTTTGGAGTGAGGGGCGTTGTAACCTTTTATAGGTTTTCCACTTTTGCGTGGGTATATATACTAACATGCATGAACATATTTAAAATATAGTAACCTTCCCCCTCCCACCCTTCAAAATATTTTTTAATACTTTCCTGCCGTATTGGTGTGATTTATGACAAACTGCAATACGATGTTCAACTAACCCATGCCTATAACAAAAAAGAAAACAGGAAAGCAGCTTCGTATTCCATTGGTTAGAAGCTTGCAGATGGCGCGTTGCCTTCAGCCATAGTGTAAGTCCTAAGAAAGTGATGAACATTGTTGAATTAGTTTACGCAAGAGATGACTTTGACAGCGATTGCATAACACTGGTATTGATCACATACACGACAACAAGATCCACTCACATTTACTTCCCGAATGCTGCCCAAACAGCGAAGCAGGTGCCGCTCTTTCATCATGGCATGTCCCACTTCAACATTTTTCCAGTCCTCCCCACGTTGTCCCTCAGCGTTGGCCTCCCGAGCGAACAACGGGGTTGGCTCGGTGATGACATGCCTAATCTTGCCTCAACACAAGCTGATGCTCACGTCGCACAGCGGTTCCTCTTGGGCAGTCTTAGTCATTACGAAAGCGTTAACCTCCAGAAAACCGACCACCCCTTTTCTGCTGCGCCAACAGGTTAATTGACCTGTTTCTCACAGAGCGGCTGCATTCCTCCGATAAGCCTTACATTCCCCTCTGTAGGCGTATTTTTCGCTGCTTCCCTCTTTCCAGAAAGCCTGACTTTCCCTCTACCTGACATGCATTTCGTTGTTTCAGTCTTCAAGCTTGACCGACTGAGTGATGGATCGAATGCCGGCTGTGGCGACTGCCATTACAAAGGAAGCGAAAATGCTCTAGGCCCGTGTGGTCAGAGTTGGGTGCATAAAAATGAACCCCAGGTGGTCGAAATTTCCAGAGGCTCCACTATATGGCGTCTCTCATAATTATATGCTGCTTTTGGGGCTTTAAACCTCACATATCTCGGGACGTAAAACACCACTTAACAATCAAATCGAACGCCTCATATCAATCAATCATATCGGTCTTCAAGCTTGACCCTTACGCTTTCCTCAAGAGCAAAGTCCTCACCTTGCTACTGTTATGCCTGTGAGTCCACAGCGAACGTCCGTGCCTCTGAAAAAGGCAATCTGTGTCAAGGCCAGCACGCGAGCCCGCCTGACGCGATGAACACCTAAACGGCGTCAACACGAGACGGCGCCTTTCTGTCGCCCACGTGCAGTGAGTCACCTCAGCAAGCGAGCTGTCGAGTAAACAACCGGCGTCTTCCTGTCTGGCTAGTCTGACGCAATGTCTAGCGACGTCACTCGTCCTTGGGTGTAGCCACCTGCAGCGCAGCCTCTCCAGATTCGATGAGAAAGAATGACGCGGCCCAGCGGCGACCCCATTGGAGGAGTCTGACCTGATGACCAGCGGCGCTTCTGGTTGGACATTTCGTTATTCAAAGAATCCACCCGATGCATATAAAAGAAGCCCTGCGGCGCGTCGCGAGCAGCAGACCCCCTTTGACAGCAGACCCATTTGTGAGCAGACCTATGTGTTAGAGAGGAGAGCTCGGCTCTTAGAGTCTCTGTCGGCCCCAGTGCCGAATTTGTAACGCCTCTGTATATATGCTGTATATAAACCTTGTTTAACTCACCGTAGTCTCATCCGCTCGTCTATCAGCTTTGCGCAGAAGCAGTCGCGAGCTGAGAGACCTACGCTACCAAACAGCTGGTGACCTTCCCGGTGGAATTCGAAGCAGTGGCGCCTTCGGGACCATGTGTGCGTCGCCGTCTTTCGGAACAGTGGTTCCAGCGGTGAGATTCGTAGCGCCCTTCGTAACGTCGTCGGAGGTGCGCTTCACAACAGTGGTTGGCAGCTGTGGGATTGGCCGGCGTCAGCGACATCGATGCGGTGAGTGCCTGAAGTTTTCCCCTCAGTTCACCAGACTACTCTAGCTCAGGTTGCAGTAGTTTAGAGAAGGGCTGTGTGAAGCATTCAAGTGAGCTTCGATCGTTTCAAGAAAGTTGAAGTGTTTTGAAACCCAAGGTAATGCGGAGGGGGTAAACACGGGAGTTTGAAAAATTTCTTGCGCGTCTTGCTAGTTGACTTATAATGGGTACGTTAAGTAAATTGTTAACAGGGGCAAAAAGCAAGAGGCTAGTGAGAACGATGGAGAACCTTAAAGTGAAGGAACTCATCGAAATTTGTGACGAACTCGGTATTACTTTGGGTCGTGCGAAACGAAAGCAAGCGATCCTTGAGATCATGAAGGATGAGGGAGTGTCGGATGAGAAAGTCGATGTGACCTGGGTGGATATCAAAGCACGCCGCGAGGAGGCTGAAAGGCGATAAGCTCGCGAACGTGAAGAAGCTGAAAGGCGAGAACGCCGCGAGGAGGCCGAGAGGCAGGAGCGCCTCGAGTTGAAACGAATAGAATTGGCAATACTACAGTGTTCGCAGGCGCCTAGCGTAGCTTCTGCAACAGTTCAGGTCAGCGGTTATCGAATTCGGGACCAACTGCCACCGTTCGTAGTAGGCGAGGACATGGCGAAGTATCTCGTCAAGTTTGAACACGTCTGTGAGCGAAACGCTTTGGAGCGGTCTCTTTGGGCGCAGAACCTGCTAGCTCTTCTTCCCGGCGAAGCGTCCGACGCGATAACTGGCTTGTCGAGGGAAGCGTTTGAGAGCTATGACGAGGTTAAGGAAGTGCTCTCGAGACGGTATAAGTTGTCACCCGAGGCTTTCAGGCAAAGGTTGCGGTATGCTAAAAACGGCAATGAGTCACACGTTGACTTCGCGTTTCGTCTCAAAGCCGATTTATTTGAATGGCTCAAGGGTGAAGGTATTTATGACGACCGTGATAAAGTGGTGGAATGCGTCGCGTTGGAGCAATTCTACCGCTGCATCGAGGAGGATGTCAAACTTTGGCTGCAGGACAAACTTGGTGAAGTACAGCTAAACAAGGCAGCAGAGTTAGCTGAGGAGTATTATACTCGCCGAACGTTGCATAGGAGGGCAGTGCACGTTGAAAAGGATGAAAGGAAAGAGGGCTTTTCAAGGAAACCTGATCAACGGAAACCCGCTCCGCACCATAATTTCAAGAAGGACCCGTCTCTTACGAAGGACACTGTAGGGGAAGGGCAAACGGAAGTGGAGAAATTGAGTGAAGTTCCTAAACAACGCCCTGATATCACACGGGCGTTTGAATCACGGAAGCCACTAATCTGCTACAACTGCAAAAAGGAAGGGCACATCGCAATAAACTGTAAGCAAAAGTTTGCTTTCGCAACAATTCGAGAATCGGAAAAGAACATGCGGTTGTTAGAGCCGTATATCCAAGAAATTAGTTTGAATGGGAAAACGTGTCGAGCACTTAGAGACTCAGCGGCAACCATAGACGTTGTCCATCCATTGGTGTCTCCGGATGACTTTACGGGAGAATGCGCGTGGATCAGGCAAGTCGCCGAGGAGCAGAGTGCTTGCTTACCGATCGCTACAGTTGTCATTGAAGGCCCGTTCGGTAAGCTTCGCACCGAAGCGGTTGTGTCTGCCGCGCTTTCCGATCGTTTTCCTTCTCTTTTCTCCAACAACTCAGAGCAGCTTCTCGAAGAGCAGGGTAAATCGTTCTTCCCCAACTTGGCGTACATGGCCCTTAGGCGATCGCAAGCGCGGAAGCTTTCGCAGAAGCTTGATCTTGTTCACTGCGGTGAACTCTCAAGTGACCTTGTCGGCGAGTCGACGGAACCTCAGAGAGGAAATTTTCCGCGTGAGTCATGTGAGCAGTCACGCGAGCGGCCCGTCGCCGAAGCGACCGGCGCGGCTTCCGTAGCAAGGGGAGATGACATGGCGCCATTGAGTCGGAGCGAGAGGGATGCAACGCTCTCCCCTGTAGGGGAAAGTATGAGTAAGCTGTTGAGGGTTGATCCAGAGACGCTCATTCGAGAGCAGCGTGAGGACCTCTCGATTAAAGCGCTAATGGAAAGCCACGTGAAAGCTGCACGAGTGTAGTCGAAGGAGTACAACGACAAATCGGCGAAAGAGCGCGCTTTTGAAGTAGGAAGTCAGGTAGTGCTGCTGCGGCCGTTCAAAAGGAAAAAGCTTGAGATTCTTTGGGGAGGGCCCGCCAAAGTATTATCGAAGCTTTCCGATACGAATCATTAAGTGAAATTAGGAAAGCGGCCGAACAAAATTTACCACAGTAACTTGAGGAAACCATAGTTAAACGTCAAGCAGTCGTAAATCTGCTGTTGAATGCTCCAGAGGAAGAGGGAGCAGAAATTTTGAGTTTGAGTGAGATAATCGAAAGGAAATCAGAGGTAATCGTGGAGCAGTTGAACCTACAGCCTAGGTTAAGTGAAGTCCAGAAGCAGGACCTGAGAAAGATTGTTTTCGATTTTGGAGACGTGTTTTCGGACCACCCGGAAACACGAGGGCGATCGAACACAATATCGAGCTAACCGGTTAGGAGTCAATCCGTAGCAAGCCGTATCGTTGTTCCCCTGTGCACCGTCGCAAGTGAGAGCAGCTCTTGGTACCGCATAGGTATCGTCGCCTGAAAGTGGCCGGTTACTGAGATGGAACATGATACCCCAACAGCACAACTTTGACGTTCGCTACAAAAAAGGAAAGCTAAACGCTAATGCAGACGCATTGAGCCGTGCGTTTAGTTAGTACCTTTTCCACCTTTGGGTTTCTCGCTGGCGATTCGGGGCAAAATTTTGTCCTCATTACGGTCTTAGCTGAGTGCTCTCGTCCAGAATGAGCTCAAGGAGCCAACTTTATGTTCTATTCAAATTGGTTACGTTGTTGTACGTGTAAAAATTTGAGTTCTCATTTTAAGAGTCTTGTGTCCCACATGTGCCTCTTGATGTAGAGGGAACAAAATTCCGAAAGACACGT